GTTATTATCTCTGTGCATCCACTCTGTGCTTCACAAATAGGTAAACCCAACAGAAACAATAAAGAACAAAAATGAAATGATGTGGTAAGGATAAAACAATAGTAATATAAAAATAAAAATACCAACAATGAGCAAGAAAAGATGTCCATCAATATTTAAAAAACCAGGCAAGGAATTTTTGCCATGGAACAAGCAAGATATCATTGCACCTAGAAAAATTCAGGTTGGGTCTAAAGCAACGGTTCTCCACCTGTGGGTCACAACCTCTTTGGGGGTCAAATGACCCTTTCACAGGGGTTGCCCGATTCATAACAGTAGCAAAATTACAGTTATGAAGTAGCAACGAAAATAATTTTATGGTTGGGGTACAACATGAAGAACTGTATTAAAGGGTCCTGGCATTAGAAAGCTTGAAAACCACTGGTCTAGAGGGAGGTCAACTGGTGTTGGAGAGTTGTAGTGACCTGCAGGGCTGAGGGGCTGGCCCAGGGCAGGGGTTCAGCGGTGGTGCATAGGGCAGTGGGGAGCTCACTGACAGCTGTGGGGCAAGTACACTGTGAGCACCTCTGCAAGGTGTTGGTCATCGGTGAGCTCAGCATTGTCAAGACCAGCACCATCAAGGGCTATGTCCACCAACTTTTCTCCCAGCACTACCAGGCCATCTGGGTGGACTTTGCCCTCAAGGTCTTCAACTGGGACAGCTGGATGCTTGTGCACCTGCAGCTGTGGGACATCACGGGACAGGAGCAGTTGGGCAGCATGACCCAAGTATATTATAAAGAAGCTGTTGGTGCTTTCATAGTCTGCGATATATTGAGAGGTTCCACATTTGAGGTGGTCTTAACATGGAAGAGTGATCTTGATAGTAAGGTTCCATATTCCAAATGGCCCTCAATTCCTGTTGTCCTCCTAGCTAACAAATGTGACCAGAAAAATGGTGACCATAACCCTTCCCAGATAGACCAGATCTGCAAACAACATGGCACCAGTGGATGGTTTGAAACTTGTACAAAGGATAACATAAACAGAGGAAGCAGCCCAATTCCTGGTAGAGAATGTACTTTGGAACCACCAGACTTTCCCTGATGAAGAAAATTACCTGAGCACAATTAAGCTGGATCAGGACACCTTGAGAACAGAGAGCAAATCACACGTGTTGCTGATACTGCTCCACTTCTATCATGCCCACCACAGCCTGACTGTTCAAGTAGAATCTTGCTTAGAGAGTACCACTCTTCGCAGAGGCCTCCACACAGTTACACACGGGCTCTCCCATGGAGAACCCTTCCTAGGGGCTCTGCAGTTGCACAGAATAAACACTGAGGCTTTGATGGTTGCCATCCTATTGAGGCTAATGTGTACATTTTGGTTGCCAGCCTTTAACCTGCACATCCTCAGGATTTGGTTAGACATCCAAGTTGTAGCTTTAAGTGTAAGCAATGGGGGTGGTAATAAAACTTGCTGTCTTTTGGTGAAAAACCACTGTGCCACTTTGTTGTTGTTTATCTGCTTCTCTCCTAGAATAAAACTTAAGGAAGATCTTTTGTTAATTTATGTAACCCCAGAACCTAGAATAGAACCTGATATATGGTCGACATTCAATAAATATTGATTGAATGAGTGAACAAATACACAAGGAAAACTCAGTTGGAAGTTCCTGGCTAATAAAGGAGGGAGGGGGGAGAAATTAATTAGGCAATACCTTCTGCCATGCTGTGTACTTTTCTGACTTACCAATCTAAGCAAATACCTCTAAGAAAGAAATCATGATGTCTTTTCTAGGAGAGGGCTTCAAAAAGTTGTTAGAAAAACACAACATAACCGACAGTTCCCCGGGGGACCTGGGAGAGGGCAAGGTTGGGGGAAAGGTAAACCCAGGGACAAGGGAACAACAAGTGATCCAAATCGGTAGTGAGGAGGGTGTAGGAGGCCTGGTAGGGGCGTGATCAAGGGTAATGTAACCAAGAGGAATTACTGAAACCCAAAGGAAGTCTGAGCATGATAGTGGGACAAGAGGAAAGT